AAACATAAATTGCAGATGTTCGTTTTGTTGCGGCGAAAGAGGATGAAATCCAGAAATCTGAAAATATCTGGAGACTCTGGACTTATCACTACATCTTCTTCGGGACAGTTTTATTTTCTGTTAAGTTATGAATTTGATTTAGTAGGAGTGTAACAAAACATTTGTTGACAGGAGTCTCGGGAAACAGTCGATCTGTTGGACCGGAGTGCAAGCTGTTGCCTGCGGCCTTGGGCAACAGCTTGCACTCTGGTCCAACAGATTGACTGTCTGTTTCCCTCTACCCCAGTCAACAACTGTATACTGTTGCATGGCTGAACTAATCCATTATGACGTCATGATTAATTTCCCGTACTTTACAGCTATAATATTGAATTATGTATAAATTGAAGCATTTTCATGGCAATAAATTTGAGATTATGATTTGAAGAGTAATCCTGATACCCATATAAATAGAGATTCAATTTAATATCATTTGAAAGAAGAGGACAAGAACACCTTTTCTGAGGGTAATTTTTGGAAAAATGTAGGCCCCTTTCACTCTCTGTAGATCCTTGCCTTTTAAAACGTTCGACTCAGCGTGCTATATTTAAACCTTCAAGTCATCTTATGTTTTTTATTAAACAATACATGTATACATCAATATTTATTAGGGCATGATAACACTAAGAAATAATGCATACTTTTGTCGATGTGTCTTTATTATCATTACTTTAAGAAATTATATAGTAGGTTAGGTAATAAAACACTTATTTCATGACAACTCAGGAAACAGTTTGACTGTTCCCCTTGTAGTCGTGAAATAAGTGTATACTAGCATTCTGTTAACAGTTTCCCAGGTCTTCCCATTACCTCGGGACAACAGTTTGACTGTTCCCCTTGTAGTCGTGAAATAAGTGTATACTAGCATTCTGTTAACAGTTTCCCAGGTCTTCCCATTACCTCGGGACAACAGTTTGACTGTTCCCCTTGTAGTCGTGAAATAAGTGTATACTAGCATTCTGTTAACAGTTTCCCAGGTCTTCCCATTACCTCGGGACAACAGTTTGACTGTTCCCCTTGTAGTCATGAAATAAGTGTATACTAGCATTCTGTTAACAGTTTCCCAGGTCTTCCCATTACCTCGGGACAACAGTTTGACTGTTCCCCTTGTAGTCGTGAAATAAGTGTATACTAGCATTCTGTTAAGGGGTATTGCAATTAATCATGATTACTGTTATAAAGGTCATCTGTTGAGATTTCATGACATCTTCTGGTTGGCTTCGGGTCTTGTTGATCTTTTACATTTTCTGTATCTTTTGATGCATATCTTATTTGTTTAGGTTTGTAAAAAAAATATTTTTGCTTATTTTGAACAGGAGCTTCTGGAGAGAGGCCTTAGTGTGAGGCAGAATGTCCAGGTAGCTCAGGAATTTAGCCTTCTCTGTCCCTACTGAAGTTTCCTGAAGGGCATATGCTAGGGACATGTTTGATGCTGATGTTTTGCAGCAAAGACCGCCTTGATGGATTTCTTGGAATAAGGCAAACTCAGGAGAATTGGACTGACAATTAACACTGGCCAGTGAGTATTTTCCAGAAATTCCTACTTTTGTTGAGTGCAGCACAGTGCATGATGTTAGATTCAGAACTGGTATTTACCGGTGAAGTTGTATTGTTAGAATAATTACCTCCATCATCCTCTCTGTGTTCACTATATGTATTTTATATATGACAATTTTTAAAGAATTTCACCATAATTGGGGGTAATTTTTCAAAAAAAATCTTAAGAGTATTTATCTATATTCTTGATCAAAGTTGTTATCAGAATTAAGTAGAGGGGATATTTATACAATAAATAAAAATTGATAAGAAAAATTTACTGCAGCATATGTGATATGTGAGCATTTCAAAATTGTCCATTGTGTGTCTGATGCTCATTTCATCCTCTATTATCAGGAGATCCTACACATCACTTCAAAGGGCCATAACTCTGCTGTTCAGATGACAAATGCAATGAGATTTCACAATGATGTGTCGTATAATGGCTGTAGAAGATTTTGTACCAAGTTTTATGAAAATCAATCCAGGTCAGAGTCTTTATCATGTAACAGTTTACTAATTTTACCCCATTTTCATTGATCACCCATGGCCAAGTAGTGCCAGTTTAAAAATAGGGGTTTTGACTTTTTTTCATAAAAATTCTTGTGGATATATATGGTATTGGAATGAGGTTATTTGATGGAAGAGATGGAAAAGAGAGGGTCTAAAAAAAAACTAAGAAGTCTAAAATAATGGGAATTCTGCTTTAAGGTGCAAAGTAGGAAGGGTGTAAAGAGGCCTTTATTTACCTGCTTCTTTAAGGAAAATGGAAATATCCAGGGTACTTGCAGGGTAGGGGATACTTGTGGAGTCATTGCAAGGCTTGTAGACTACGGATATTTCCGAGATTCAGAAATATTTTTAGACTTGAATTGTTCGAGCACTTTGCCATATTTCAGATGAGTGTCCATGGTGGAATTTTTTAATTATATTGAAATGCCACCACTTGATGATGGGGGGGCTGCAAATTTAGACCAGTACTGGGCACTTATGGTCTTTGAGCAGTGAGGGATCTTTTTCATGCCAGTACCTACTGCGACATATGACCCTGGTTTTTATGGTCTTCTCATCTGAAGGACTGGTCTGCACATATCATATTGGGATTTGAACCCGCGACATAATGATTTACTCCACAACTCTGGATCAAATGCTCTAATGACTGCACCACGTGGGCGTCCTGAACAGAAGTACAGAAACGATACTGTATCATATTCTACATACATGTAAATACATGTAAAACCTTCCAATTTCATAGCATTTTCATTCCCTCTGTCCATCAGAAAAATGCATATATAATTTATTTCCTCTAATATTTTTGTAAATTTTCACAAAGTTAAATTGATGTTTGTTATAACAATTTGGCATTGCCCTAATGTCAGTACCATAACAGCCTATGATCATGATCAAACACCATCAATTTTTTATGCTTTTACAGAGAGAAAGAAGCAATTACCCATCGAAACCTGTATCAGTGGTACTGAAAACAACTGGATCTAGTGACAATGTGAGTACATTATTATGCACTGTATAATTAAGAAATAAACAACAATACTAAAAAGTTCTCTGGGAAATGAACTTGGTTGGTCATGTGATCAAATCCTGTGAAGCCCAAAGGGCTTCTCAGAAGATTTGATCACATATCAACCAAGTTCATTTCCCAGTGAACTTTTTAACATTGTTGTTTATTACTTTTATTTACATTTGAGATGAATATTCTGAATAGAACTGCATTTATTACACGAACGGCCTGCCGTATTGCTATGTTGTGACGCGCAATGACCTAGAAGCTGTTTGGTCTTGAGAGTTCGCCTCGCTCCAACATTTGAATACTTACATTGATGTTCAGCTGTCCAGTTCAGGAAATATCTGTTCATAATGAAAAAACAATGATCTCTACTGAGAATAATCTTACTATTATTGTATGAGTTCTTTATATATGAAGTCAAAAGCGGTGGTATCATCTTCAGTTTACATACCTTCAAAGGAATTTCGTGTTAAAAAGGTAAGGGTGATTTTAGGCTAATTAAAGGCATTCTTCACACCGCAGAGAGATCTAATGATCATTTGTTGAACGAAAAAAAATATATGTTTCAATAATTATATCTTTTTCATTGCTTTAATGGCTTAGAAGTTCCGAAACCAGTGTCACCGTAACCAGCTGGTAACATAAATATGTAGACAAGATATCATCTCGCTGTGTGATTCGGTCAGGCCGTGACCTCTGACCCTCTAATAAGTTCATACAGAATTGAACATATTTTCTCTTCAATAGGTTCATATAAAAAAAATATTTGCAAATGTAAATGATAATTATTGTTTTTCCTTTGCATTTTTAAGCTCACCTGAGCTGAAAGCTCATGTGAGCATTTCTGATAATATTTTGACAAATGTCCTTCTGTCTGTAGATCTGTAAACTTTTTGACTCGATCCTTTTCAAGAACCACTAGACTCTTCCATTGGGACATTCTGACATTATAGTGGACTTGACATCGAAAGTATAGGCCTTTTGTAAATTGTTTTGTTTCGAGGTTGAATGGCAGAATTTAATTATGGCAAGTCATCAGAAAAATTATGTAAATATAAGATTTGAATTCTTTGAAGTTCATGAGGTTAAACTACAATGCTTCATGCATGCATATTTGTTATGAAATGCTAATGCCAGCATAAAACGTCACAGTTCATGTCCTGATGAATTTTCAAATTAAAATAAAACTCATTTCTTAAATGAACTCATGTATCCTAGTGTGGCAATAATAAACAAAATGCAAGAGGTCTGAAATATACAGGGTGATCCAAAATATCTGATACTACTTTGATCCTCAAAAAAATTATCATCAATTATAGTAATATTTCATTTATACATCATTTTAAACTGCTGCAGCTATCATTTTCATCGACAAGTAATACTAGAAAACACTGATGTCACTACATGTGATATTAGGCACTGTAGGGCATCATAAAACTGATACTATTTTTATCATGTAGTAAAATGTATACCAAAGGGTTGAAGTTCTCCATTAAAACTCACTGGACTCTATCTGTGGGGGGTATCTAAAGAACAAAGCCAACTTTCCATGAGAATTTCAAGTTTGTAATACTCGGGGAAATGTGAGAAGTTACTCCAGACATGTGCAGTGATGTGATCACAAACTTTGAAGGAGACTTCACTTTATCTCATGCTTGCTTAAAAGGGACTTCATGTATTAAGTGTGCTTAGATAACTGCATTATTTCATAAATTGTGGGTTTAAAAAATATATAAATTGTACATGACATATGCTATAGAAAATATCAAAGCAGGTATTAAATTTTGAAAAATTTTATTAAATTTTATTATACATGTATGCCATGTGGAAGTTTTATCAACCTTCAAAATGGTATCAGATATTTTGGATCACCTTGTATTTCATGAGAAATCTACATTCCAAAGTCTTGCAGATTCAAGCTCGGTGAAGGGTGGGGCTACATGTAGATATGGGAGCAGATTTCACATTATACAGTAAGGCTATGTAAGTCATATTGGTATTCAGCATATATACCAGTAATTGTTATGAGTGGATTCAAGTATGCTTATGTACATGTATTAAAGTAACAGGTGACATTCATTTTGACTATGATATTTCTGATTTCAGGAGTAGTCTCCCCTGTTAAAGATCAACAATGGTGGATATACAATGCGGGATGCTGTGTAGTACATACTACGTACATCATTAACAGAGTTTTGACACCTGTATACCTGTATTTCTACCAATCACCTCTGTAACCTTTGTTGTAATCGTCAGACAGGTAAGAAAAACAAGATAATTAATGAAAATAATTTCTAAAAATAATTAAGATAAATACTGAAAAAAAACATATTTACATGTACAGACTCACCCATGTAAGAAAATGTCACATTTTACACACACAATTATACGTCATTTACATATCCTGGCCATTGATGCAGTAAAACATAGCAATTTTATTTAAATATGTAACAATTCACAGAATAGATGCTATGTATTTATAAATGCTTTCATACATTTAAATTACATACACAGCTTTTTTTAACACAATTTCCTTTTTAGCTCACGTGACCTTTCTGATCACCCATTGTCCGTCTGTCCGTCCGTCCGTCCAGCTGTAAACTTTTCACATTTTCAACTTCTTCTCAAGAATCACAGGGCCAATTTTAACCAAACTTGGTACAGAGCATCCTTAGGTAAAGGGGAGTTTTAATTGTTCAAAGGAAGGGCCAAGCCCCCTTCAAAGGGGAGATAATCAAGAAAAGACAAAAATTGGGTAGGGTCATTAAAAAATCTTCTTCTCAAGAACCACTGGGCCAAAAAAGCTGAAACTTATGTGGAAGCATCCTAGGGTAGTGTAGATTCTAAATTGTTCAAATCATGACCCCCGGGATAGGGCGGGGCCACAAAAGGGAATCCAAATTTTTCATTGAAATATGTAGAAAAAATCTTTTAATATCTTCTTCTCAAGAACCACTGGGCTAGAAAAGCTGAAACTTATGTGGAAGCATTCTGGGGTAGTGTAGATTCTAAATTGTTGAAATCATGACCCCCGGGGTAGGGCAGGCCACAACAGGGAATCAGTTTTGCATTGAAATATGTAGAAAAAATCTTTAAAAATCTTTTTCTCAAGAACCACTGAGCCAGAAAGGCTGAAACTTAAGTGGCAGCATCCTGGGTAGATACTAAATTGTTCGAATCATGGCCCCTGGTTAAGGTTGGGACCACGATATGTATTACAAGGGGGGAAATCAGGTGAAAAACAACAAGGCCAAAGTTACTCAGGTGAGCGTTGTGGCCCATGGGCCTTTTGTTAATTTTGGATACGTCAGTGGTTTACTGTAAGTGTCTATATTTTAACAGTTTTTGTTTCATTTTAAAGTCATTTTGCCTATTTTGTTGTTGTTTTAGATGATGGACCACTCTACATTCTTTTATAACAGATTCCCCTACAGATTCACAAAGTTCCAATGTTGAATTTCCATGACCCCTATTCAGTGAGTGCACAACTTTATGTATTCTACTTTTAAAATTTCCACTACTTGTAATATATTTTGGATTTGATTATGAATATGCCCTATTCACAGATTCAGCTTTTGTGTACAAGTATGATACTTAATTCTATTAACTTGAAGATTATTTAGTCCTAAAGTCAAATTTATACAGTCTTTTAACAAACATTTGTCTTCCTCAGTCATGTTTAATTCAAAGTCACTAGGCACCACTGAAGATTTCCACTTATTGCTTTTCAGTCCATGACAGAAAAAGGAATAAAGTTGACAGGACTTTCATCACTGCCCTTTAACTGGTAGCAGTTTATGTTTAGACAGCAGAAGACATAGCCAGTTTCATCAAAGGTAAGTCTTCTTCGGATAGTTTGTGTAGCAGTTCTCATGCTCTGTCCTTCACTGAAGCTTCAGGTCCAAGCAAATCTTCTCTTCATGGATTCTCTTAATATGGCATTGGTTCTTCTCAGAAACATGTGACTGCTGAATGGAACCTTAGCAGTCTGTTTTCTTTGAGGTTCTTTAAGGTTTTCAATGACATGTCCTTGTTTTTCAGATGCACCAGATGCCTTGGCACTATCTCCATCACTGGTGAAATGGGAAATGACTAGTAGACCGTCATCACTTAATATTTTTAACTCACCAATGCATAATTTGAGGCCAATCTCTTCTCATCTCCGATGGTGGTCTCCAGAGGAATGGTTGCAGTGCAGTCTTCGTGTCCTGGGCCTTTCCTTCTCAGGTGTGTGCCTTTCTTGCATAGTTTATTCCCACAGAACACTGCCTCAACATTTTTCCTCTGAGTAACATTTTCACTTACAGTATAAGTCACTTGGGTGGCAGCTTGGAATTGGTTTTTCCAGTGGCACTGAAGGTGGCATTATTATACCAAACATCTCCTTCCCCTCTGATAGGGGTATCAGGAAGTCCACATTTTTAGCTCTATTGGTCAGAGACCAGAAGAGATCATGCTATTGTAAGGTGTCTGTCATTCGTCGTCTGTCTGTAAATTTTTTTTTCAAAATTCTACTCCTCCTACAGTTTTGGTCTGATTTGTGGCACACAAATAGAGTACACTAAGACATCGGTTTTTGATTTATATAAACTCTGTTGCCATGGTTAGCAAAATTAAAATTTCTGTGAAATACTTTCAAAATGCTACACCTCCTACAGTTTGGTCTGATATCAATTTTGATATAACATGGCATGCAAGTAGACTAGATACATAATTGTCTTTATCGTTTTTTTCTTATTTTGATGAATGATGTTGCCATGGTAACTAAAATCGAAATTTCTATAAAATTCTTTTAAAAGGCTACTCTTTCTACAGTTGTTGTCTGATTGCAATCTTACCATGAAAAGAGACTAAATCAAGGATCACTATTCCATTTATTGCTGATGCAAAGTTTCAAGTCCAAGTTACTTTTCTCTTCCTTTGTTATAAGTAAAAACCAGACAGTAGGGCTACAGTCTCGACGTAGACTACTGGTTCATTAAGTTCTTGAATGTTCTGCCCTATTGATTTTCTTCATACTAGTTTTATTCACATCTATGATAATTTCCCCACTTTGTTGCAGGTCTGTTGCACATGGGTGGCTGAAGCTGGTTCAATATTTCCACCAAGAAGCATACCATGCATACCCTCTGTAGTAATGCTGGTACCCAAGTGACCGATAGCCATGGCCACATTTAGCTGTGCAGCTCTTCATCCCCTTCCAGATCTCCTCACCTCTTCGTAAAGCTTTTCTCATTGACTGGTGTAGTGGCACTTCTTACATCGGATAAAAGGATCCATGCCAGGCCTCGTTTTTCCTCCTAATGTTGGTTCCAGTCCAGTGAACTGTCACAGTCTGGAAACTTCTTTAATTGTTCTTTAAATGCCTGATTCCACAATTTAGCAGTCTTCTCTTGGTGAAGGACTTTGTATAGTTTTGAGTTTGGGTCATCTGACACAGCTTCCATGTAGGAGTCTACAGGCTGGATTTCACTTAGCCCGGGTCACAAAATCTTCATCTCACTGCTTCGGCTCTCGGCAGAGTCTGACATTTATATATATTTATACAGACATATAGAGACATTTTCATTTTCTCGTTTTGGGCATCTTATTTAAGGCCTACAGTATTAATTTTGGACTCATGTACTAGGAATATATCTTTAGCAGAATTGTCTTTTTTAGGTCACCTGAGTCGCTCAGGTGACCTATTGCAATCTGTTTTTGTTCGTCGTTGTGCGTTAACATTTGATCATTTTTAGCTTCTTCTCTGAAACCACTTAACCAATTTCAACCAAATTTGGCATATAGCATATATGGGTGAAGGGGAAAAAATATGAATTTCATGGTCCCTGCCCCCCTGGGGCCTGAGGGGTGGGGCTAAAACCACCAAAATTAATGCAATCTTTAAAAATCTTCTTTACTCCTGGACATCAAGCAGTCAAATTGTTCGCATGATTGTAATAAGCATTGAGCCTCTACCAAAATTGTGAAATTCATGGCCCCAGGGTCAGGGGTTCTGGTGATAGGATGGGCATATATAGATCAAATAGTGAAAGTGCCTTATTTCTTTGAGAATCTTCTTCTCTGCTCCTGGGTATTAAATAAACTAACTAAGTACATAGTTATGATGAGCAAGAGTGCCTCTTCCAAAATTGTGAATTTCATGGTCCCAGGGTCATGGGTGCTGGTGTTAGGGCGGGCCTCTATTGATTATATAGTGAAAATGCATTATTTCTTTGAAAATCTTCTTCTCTACTCCCTGGATACTAAATAAACTATAAGTACATAGTTATGATGAGCAAGAGTGCCTCTTCCAGAATTGTGAATTTCATGGCCCCAGGGTCAGGGGTTCTGGTGTTAGGGCAGGGCTCTATTCATTGTATAGTAAAATTGCATTAATTCTTGAAAATCTGAAAAGTACTTTCATAGTTTTAATGATCAGGTAGACTTGGAAATAATAAATGAATAAAAATGAGACAAAAATAACATCTCTTTTTATATCTTCTTCAAAGGCTAAGAGAGGCCAGTGTGAGAGTTAATAATATGGGGTTAAAAAAATAGACATTTGTTAATAGTCTGCATGGTAATAGTGATAAATGGGGGACAGATAGATACTAGACCAATTATTTTGTTGATGCTAATCATACTATTTTTCTTGCTTTTGGGCAACAAGGCTTCATTTATCAGTTTATGGATCCTCTAAATTGTTGTATTGTACTCAGATGACCGTTAAGACCGTCGGGCCTCTTGTTTAGGTGTACATGATGTAACTTTCTGGATGATGTGTAGTCTGTCAACATCTGAAACCCACATGTATAGATAAGCCTGTTTTGTATAAGAATCATGTCTATTGTATTGCTCAGCTTTTTGCAGGTTTTATATGAATAAGTTAAAATTTTATTCTATATGTATAGATTTAAACTAAAGGTGCATAGACACAGATTTGAAGTTTATATTTTCTCAAATTTTCTGTATAATATCACAACTTATATGTTGCTATAGCATTTCACACGAAAATAAAATTAAAAACTTATTTAATCTGGAAATTATTGAAACTACGAATTTCGGGTGGCTTTTGATTAACACATCCTTGCACTTTCACGATTTTTAACTTTATCCTTAATACTTAGGAAAAGTAGCAATTTTGTTGTGTATTAATGAATAATATTACATCTATAATCCAGAAAATTCAGAGTAAAAATGTGCGAAAGTAAAACCCACTCACTTAAGTATTGTCAGCCCCTGCTCAATGTTGTGTAGTTGTGTACAGAGTTTAACAAATTGAATACACCCGTGAAAAGTAAACTGTTTTTGTAAACAGGGCACGAGCTCTGTTGTTATTAATGTTTACGTTTCACCGGGTGTGTTCAATTGTTAAACTCTGCACACACCACTGAGCACGGACTGACAATACTGGTAAAAGGATTTTGCTTTCTACATTTCTACTCTGAAATTTCTGCATTATAGTTTTAATATTTTTCATTAATAAACAACAAAATTGCTACTTTTCTAAAGTAATAAGGATAAAGTTAAAATTTGTGAAAGTGCAAGGATGTGTTTATCAAACGCGTCCAGAAATTCAAAGTTTCAATAACTTCCAGATAAAATAAGATTTTTATCAAATTTTCGTATGAAATGCTATATAGCAACATATAAGTCATGAAATTATACAGAAAATTTAAATATTAGTAAATATTAACTTCAAATCTGTGTCCAAGCACCTTTAAGTCATAATTCTCAAATTTCTTTCTGTAAAACGATATAATGTTAGTGTTGCCATGACAACAGATGCCTTGCTATTTAGATTTGCTTTAAACTTTTCTGTAAACTAAATACATACGTATCTTTAATAATTAGCTGTCAGATCTTAATTGGTTGAAAGTAATATCAGTATACTTTTTTGTTATTATTTAAAAGATTATTTAGAAAAATGTTGAAATTGAAGCTATTTTTTGTAACTTACTGTGGTTTCCATGTTAACACATAATTAGGGTTAAAAATATTAGTTTTGTTGGTCAATCATCATTTTCATATTTGTGAAAGTTGTGTACTATGAATATATGTTTACAACCAGAAAAAGAAAATAATAGAAATCTTCATGGAAAAGTTTTAGTTTTCAAAACTTGTGTTGTCAAATCATCTTTTACAGATTTGATTCTTTTGTTTTATTGAATTTCTTACTGATAAATAATCTTTTTCAGTTATTTTTTTTAGTCGTCCAAAATTGGTCCAAGATACCAATTTCTTTATAGTATATGCTTAACTTTCAACTTCAGAAAACAAGTTATCATTCACTAAATTATTGTCTTATTATCAGATGTATGTGTAGTAGATGTATTACACTCAGAGTGAACATTATTCAGTTTGAATTTCATGTAGAAAGTTGTAGAAAGGTGTCCTATAGTTTCATCAATTTATATAATTCTAACGAATTCTTGGACAAAGACAGGCATATAGTTACAGATCTAGAGAAATTGTAAATAGCATATATCTTTAGGAATTTATTTCTTTTATAATACTTATTATTATATTTGAAGACCTACCGTTGTAAGATGGACTTGGTTCTATAAACCGGTGAATTATTTCATTATTTTGTTATATAAGAAAGATAACTCTTCACAATTGTGAAAAGTATTGCTACTGATTAAGGTTATAAAAGTTATTTCCCTTTACGTATGTAAAACAGTAGTAAATTCCATATAGTGAACTATTCAATTATGACACAATTTGTATAATGATCCTTATGTATATCTATTATAATATTATATTTTTATTGTACCATTCTAATATAATTATGTGTTTTATATTAATTTCAGAGGCAGCAGTTGTCAAATCATAAATATTGAAATCATGAAATCATAAATAATATATATTGAGAACTGGATATTCTTCTTTGTGCTTGTCTTGTTCTTTTTCATTCTTTTGTGCTTTTTTTTTCACTTTCAAAATAATTTTTTCAACGTATTTGAACTTATTTTAATTTGTATTTAAATCTTACCTGGAATATTAATTTTGAGTTTTCCTGACGTAATCTTGAGATATAGATTTCAGATGAAATGTACTGGCGCCACTGAGCATCCAACTTTTTACATTTCTTTTAAATCTGGAATAAATTAACACCTTTTTTTTTTCTTTTTACATTTTCATGACATCTCAAAGACTATGTATAAATGGAGAACAGAATATTAGTTAGTATATTTAAGTTTTTGATTACTTTTTTTTCACGTGATCAAAAAGTTGCATATATGTATAGAAACATTTTTTACATTCAAAATTAGATTAAAAATCAAGTAGAATTTAATTGAAGTTTGTTTTAATTTTATAGTCTTGAAACTTTTATTTTTAACCAAATTTATTTCGTGCCAGAACATTCAGTTATAAATGATACTTGTAAATAGGTCAGTAGGTCACATGGCTCAGGTGACCTTAAAAGAAACTTGCAAGGCTTCTGTATAGCCCTGTTTGAAGATAATATACCTGTACACTGACCAACAATATGTAAACTGACCAAAAATATACATTGACCAATAAAGTGATCAAGCTTAAAGCTGTGTACCTCGATCCATGGAGAAAGTAACTGTCCATTGTACATACATTAGTTACAAAGTTCTCTGTATTTCAACAATGGCATTCATATAACATATGTAGAATGCATGTACAGTCAAACCTCATTATTTTTATCTCAATGGGGTGAAGAAAGAACTTTGACATTGAGGGTTTAAGATACTGAGGGTAAAATACTTATCAAAAAGTGTTGCAGACTTCTAAATCACTTCGACATATCCATGCATGGTATTCAAGATATCCAATTATTCCAGATACCAAAGTTCAGCTTTATAAGTTCAGCTTTAATGCCCCTTTTGAGATTTTTTCACTCATGCATATGAAGACATCAGCCCTTGCTGATGGAGAGCTGCAAATTAGATCTATACATGTACTTGGCACTCAGGGCCATTGAGCAGTGAAGGAGATCTTTTTCTTGTCAACACCTACTGTGACACGGGACCTCGGTTGATACGATCTTATCCGAAGTACCAGTCTCCATATCCCACAATGAGATTCGAACCTGCAATGTAAGGTTCAACACTTTACTCCACAACTCTAGAGCAAAGGCTAGAGATCTAATCACTGCGCCATGCACGCAGCTCTACATGAACATTTACTTAAATCATTTCATATGACATTAGAAATGCATTTAAAAAATTACACAACTAACAAATAAATACACATTTATTTACATTAAAAAAAAAATAAATACATGACATAAGCATATAAAGGTATCATGCTAACAAAATAAGGTTAACATGCACAAAATCCTGATTTATCTGAAAAACAAAGCTTAAGGTGGATGTACCTGATGAGCTAAACTGGTTCTCATTGACTTGCAACAAAAGCAAGTAATTATGAAACAATGTAGATTGTGTCCTAAAATATAGGTCAGATGCAGCATACAAAGCCGCATTAGGGCAAAGCATTCACGTGTAGGCACACAATATGTGCAAATATGGGTTCGATACAACTTAAAGAATATCATACTAGAAAGGCAGCTCTATCACACTGTACTGCATGAGTGTCTAAAGCACATGTAGGGCTTATTCAGAATCCAATGCAAGCATCAGTATAAACATCCATAAATGCATTGTAAAATGTTTTACATGTTTAGTTCTGGACAGACATCATCATGTAACCTAGCTTAATTAACAATTAACTCATAAAACGCAGTGCCACGGTATATTTGACTAATTATACTTCCATTCTCTGCAAATTTGATTTACGTACCAGTTCTAATCAGAAGGAATGGGGGCACCAACCCCTGCACAGAGACCTCGGAGGGAGCTGCCCGGACCATGAATGCAAGAGTGAGCAGCACTATGCACCCGACCAGCAAAGTTTCTTGTGAAAGTGACATT